CATGAAAAAGCAGACTGAGTTTTTTTCCTGTCTACAAAAGCACCCCACAGTTTCCAAGAGCTCTGTTCAGTTTTACACGGATACAACAGGTGAAGTGCTCTTTGTAGTTTTTCAGCGAAAGAAAGTAACTTTTCTGTCTCTTCTCAGCGTCAGGGTGTGAATTTGAAAGTGGCAGCAGACTTCGCTGACAGTGTCTTTAGCAGCTGTTTGGCAGCATTTAGATGTTGACAAAGCCCTTTTTTTCTCCCCCTCCCACTAAAAGCTCACTGCTGGGGGCCTGGAAGAAGTAAAGTCTAAAGGGAAAGCTTTACCTGATGGAGACTTTTTTTAGACACACTTGGATTTGTCAGATGTGGATTAAAGTATTTCAAGTTTGAGCTGAAGTGACATTTTGTGCCGTTTTACTGAAAATTTCCTGATGTATCTGGATGGAGATCAAGTTGGCTCGGTGTCGATTGTATAGACTATCAATATGATTCAGTTCAGCCAGTCATGGCAGATGGCTGCTCACAATGAGTCTGGCTCTGCCAAAGTTTTCTGCCTGTCCAAAGAAAATTCCCTTGCTGCTGCTGCCAAAGTCTTACTCATGGTACACTCATATTCAGCCTCTGTAAAAAGTATGGTGCTGACCGTCCCCAACCTTTTTGGTACCAGGGACCAGTTTCATGCAGGAAACCTTTTTCAAGGACCGGGTAGGTACACAGCATATACATAGTATATAATCTGGATGCAACAATTACATCTTATATTAGGCACTTTTTTATTACAATTCAACATCAACCCTTTCTCTCTCCAGTGAACTCTGTTTCTGGCTCATTTTTGCAAGGGCTAGCTTGTGTCGCTGATGCAGGAAAATGACATGCCGAAGAGTCAAGCACGAAAGTGAGGCGATGGCAGAAGTGGTGGTCTTTCAAAATAAGATACAGGGAGGACAGATGAAAAGACAAAAAATTATTTAATTATCTTTCCAGGGCCCGGTGGTTGGGGAAAACTGATGAATTGATGAAGAATTAGTAACGTTACTGCAACAGTGTCGAAACGTACAAATGAAAGACATACACTGGATCAGAAACTTTACTTACTTTACCTTCAGTTTCAGGGAAATTCAGATATTACAGGGATGTACTTCTACAGTGTAGTGAAAGCGATTCTAATACCATCACTGACTTACATTATACTACAGAAAAGAAACCCATTTAACCAGCTGAACAGCTTTTTTTACACTTAAGTGGCAGGCTAAGTGGCCGAAACATCAATAATACAGTAATATTTACATCATGATACGGTACTGAACCATGTCATGCCCGAGGGTGGTGTATCTGAATGTTTCATTATGTTGTTAATGTTACATTTTGTTGTTGATTTTACCCTGAATCTTACATAAACAGAACAAAAACTGTTCTTTTCAGTCGTAGTTTATTGAAAAAATAATAAATTAAAAAATAATAGAGTCCCTGCTTAAAATCATCCCTGTGTCTCTCTCAACTTTCCTTGTTTGGCTCCCTTCCCTCTCATGTTTTCGGATTCTTCTCTCAGGAATTTTAAAAGAGATAGTTTATACAGTCCAGATGGGGCCCAGGTAGCAGGACTTATCATGATCCCAGTCCTCTTAGAGGCTCTTAAAGCAACCAAACATGTTCCTGTCATCGCAATGCTGCAAGAGCTCGGATTATCTGGCTGAGAGTGCCATCTGGTGGACATTCTGAGTATATTTTTCTTTTTTTTTTATGTGCGTGTTTCTCTCACTCTCTTTCACCAGGAGTTGGAGAAGCCCAGTCCCCCTCAGAAACCCCTACCGGCCGACCCAAGGAGCTCTCGTTTGGCTCGGAGTCCCTCTTCAGTCAAAGGACCTGCGACTGTTTGCAGCCCTGCGTCAGTACCCTGTGTGCCCAGACCTGTGCGCCCTCTCCCACGCCCAAACAGGTGAGTCCCAGACTTAATTGCATTATTTGAAAAGCAAACACTGAAGCCTGTGGAAGGATGATGTTTCCTCATTTTCTCTCCCCTCTCTTTCAGACCCAGTCCCAAGCAGCCTCCAACTCTACCAAAGCCTTGCATAATCGCCAACATCAAATACAGCAGCTGAGACTTTGACCCGAGGGGACATTGTTGTTGTTATAAGACACTTAAAAAGGAATTTGCACTATGAAAACTCTGAAACCTTAAAAAGATGGTGGTTTCTCTGAGAATTAGGAGATCTGCCGTGTCCCTTTTGGTGCTCTGTCTCTGAATGGTGCTACGAGTCTGAGCTCAGGTACATGTAAAGTATTTATATTCTGTATTTATTGCCACGCAGTGCACTGTGCCAGACACTTTTACTACACGGTAGCAACATGAATTTTAAATTTGTGTTTCGCATCATTTTTTTTAAATCAAATGATGTTCATCAGGACGAGTGCAAGAGAATTTTATTGAAAAATAGCAAATCTGTGAAATTGTGATTACAGGAATGTCTTTTAACGAAGGGAACGTTTTACCATTTGGGGGTTTTGTTCTGTAAACTTCAGAAGGAGTTAAAAAAAAGAGCTTGTGCAATGACTTCAGAGGACACTTGTAGCTTGTATTTTGAAGCTTAAAGGTTGTCTTTCCTGAAGGTTAATGCTCTGCGTAGCAGCTTTTAGCCAGTCTGACAAGGCTTGAAACAACAACAACAGAGAAAAAGAGTTTTTGCAGCATCTGTTCTGCCAAGTTTTCTACAAATGAAGAGAAGAGAAATCCCAATTTCTGTTCTACATTCTCTGCGTTTAATTTCAAAAAAGGTAACCGAGAAATATCACTAAGTTCTGCTTCACTTGACAAGCCCTGAGAAGCTTACTTTAGTGGATGTGGGTACTGAAGTGTGAGCTCACGGTGGATCCAGAATAGAGCATATGAAGGAAGTCTTCATCCTGCAGAGAGAGTCTCTTGGCTCTCGCTCTGCTAAAGGTCATGTGTGTTTTTATTATTTCCCTGTGTGCCTGCCTACACAAAGGACTTGGTGTGAATAAATCATGGAATCAGTGAGGACTTTCTCAAGGCTATGACTGCACAGGCGTCATAGAGGCACTCAGCTCTATAGTGTCAGTGTGTGGATTCAGACTCTGATGGGAAAGGACTTATGCACTTGACAAAAGCCTGTCTCATAGTTATTCATTTTCTAATTTTCTACCTTCTTGATTTTGCTTTTGGGACATTTTTAAGCCGTTCTTCGTGCAACTCACATACCCTGTATGAAGTTTCTTGTTTTTAACAATATTTCGCTCATCAGAATGAATGCAGTTTTGTTGTTTTACTGGATCGCAGTGCAGCATATGTATATTCTCATCAAAGCAACATTTCCTTTAAGCACAGCTCTCATTACAAACATGTTGGCTGACTTTTGTTACTTTTGATACTGTTCTCTCTTTGTAATACTGCACTAGTTGTACATGCCTTGCCTTGTTTATATGCTTTTTTCAGTGCTCTCTGTGTCCATGAACAATCAGGCAGTCACTTGACTGCACAATTCATCCATTGTGTATCTCATATTTTGTGTTACAGGTGAACACAGTTCATGGAGAATGCTTTTTTTTATACAATGATTGTTTGATACGTCATATGTAAAGACAACACTTCCGATGTCAGTGTTTGCTCATGGTATTTTGAACACACAAGCAGCATTAGTAAAACTGTTTTTCTAACACTGTCGATTACTCTTGTTATTGATCTTTATACTGATCTTTCACTGGGGTCTTAATGGTGTCAGGGAAGTCATTCCCTTTGCTTAACAAGACTAAAACAGAGGAAATCAATGACAATACAACCCAAGAAAAGAGGGGTAGACAGGGGCAGCACAAGGCCCCTTAAAATCTGATTGGCAACTTAACCTCTATCCTAAACTAAACCAACTATGATTGTTTTTTTGTCAGATGTGGAACTCATGTTTCAAGTAGCTAGCTAGCCTGTGTTTCAACAAATTTTCTTTAAGATTTCTTTGCCTTTAGATTTAGCAAATGTACTTTTTAATTATTTTGAAACATAATTTTTGACCTATATCTCCTCAACCAGCTAAGCTAAACAATTCTACATGTTCACACTTTGTTACATTTTAGAAATAACAAAAATGTACAAAGAAATAACACATTTTTAGAATGCTTAAATTTCTTACCTGGCTGCCTTTTCCTTTGCTGTGTTCTTTATTGCTCACCATTTGACTTGTTTTCCAATCATTTGCAGTCCATGACTGTATCACCAAACCCAACATCCAAAGTGACTGACATGTAGCAAAAACTGTGTGCTCCTTTGTCTAACAACACCTGACACCTGACAAAAGGTTCCTACATATTGTCAAAATACACACCCAACACCACAAGGACACCTGCTGGCCCAATTAGGTAATATACACACAAATCAGAGAAAAATGACTATAGATATGTAGATAGATATGTATATATTATTATTATTATTATTATTATTATTATTATTTCTTATTACTTGCTTATTTCGCAACTGATTTTAATGCTGTTTACTTTATTGTCAACGCCAAAACATGGGCTATTAATAGAGAATATTTGATCTAAAAAAACCAAAACAAAACCATGTTTAATGAAATGTTTTGTATTAATAGCACATGTTTTGGCATTGACAATCATGTAAACCACATAAAAAATAGTTTGAGAAATTAGCAAGTTTTTTTTTTTCAATGTACATGCATTGCCTTAATGGGAACGATGCCCCCACTAGCAGCGCCTTGTAGTAAACACGCAGCTCAAAGGGGCATTTTGTATCTTAGTATACATATCTATTGATAGGATGAGTGCCATTCGTCATCTTACATCACATGCCACCCCTGCAAAAGTCAGTGCCCCAGTTGGGCCACCCTGGTCAATAAATTCTAGACACGCCCCTGCTGCTGCTGTCTACTTCATAGGCATTATTCTGAGCTCAAGTTAAGTGTGCTTGTTTTATAGACACGGGAGCAGGAATCCATTACTTATTGCTATTTTCATATTCAATATTTGCCTACGTTGACGCCATCGTTCGTGATGGTTTTGTATGAACAGGAGATTGTGACAGACCAGTGGGCATGGCTCGGAATTGAACATGAAGCAAATGAAAACACGTGTGAAGCCACGCCGGGGATAATTACGCGCCGGTGCGCACTACACGTCAGCCAGCCCAAACAGAACCACTCCGGGCTGAGAGCAGCCTGGTGGAACGGCCTTCATTTACATCAAGCAATTTAAATAGAGAAGAAACAGATGAATTCTTGACTGAAGGGAGAGTTTTCGACAAGAAAACAACGAAGTGGACAGGTGGTAGAGAACCGAGTCTTTGTGCGCTTTAGTCCGGATTAACAAACCTATGCGTGTGTCATGTCGGAGGAAAACCATCCCGCTGAGGCTGACATTCACCCTGAGAGTGAGGAATGTCCCGAGGAAGACTCTTTCGGCTTTGGAGATGATCTGGAGTTAAATCAGTTTGACGGATTGCCCTTTTCCTCGCGTTACTACAAACTGCTGAAAAAGAGGAAAACTCTGCCGGTGTGGAAGGTCAGGTACGAGTTCGAAGATGCTCTTGCGAACAACCAGCTGCTTATTGTGTCTGGGACGGCCAGGACTGGAGGGAGTACACAGGTAAGACATGGATATTTTATCTGTAAAGATGAGAGAAAGTCTCTATTTGAGATTTTATAACCTCATGGAGAGTTTCAACTTTGAGTTACTTTTCAATAAATCTGATTTCAGGTCTACATTTTGAGCCTTATTTTTCCCTTTCCCTCCAAATACCAACGCATAACCTAATTTGAATGACTTGAATTCAGTTGTCCAGCACATGTTTAGTCCAGCCTACTCAGCTGTTAACCATCATGTGAATTTAACCCTTTTATTTTTACCCCTCACATCACATTTTCTCTTTTAAAACCATAAATCTGCAACATAAATCCGTTTTTTTTCTCACGTTGGTCTCTGTAAAGTAGTGCCACTATGTGAACTTATTGTGTGAACATGCTGTCCAAGCTCCTGACTGTCAGGCTTCACAAAGGCTTCAGCAGGAGTGTTAGGGGGACCTCCTGCTGTTAAGCCCTGATCCGCTGAAGCCTCTCTGTGCTGCCAAAGCAATTTTGCATTATGAGCGATAATACCGTAGAACATCTCCTGTCACTGTTTGTTTTGGTGTGTGCTTAAACAAAAGCTGTTGGTACAACCCTGAAGATGAAGTTGATATAGTTGGAATGTTACTTGTTGGGTTGAAATAAACAAAAATGTAGTGACAACTGTCTTTTCAGATCCCTCAGTGGTGTGCGGAGTACTGCCTGTCCGCTCAGTACCAGAACGGCAGGGTCGTGTGCACTCAGACCGGCAGACAGCAGGCTGTAGATCTGGCGTTACGCGTGGCTGACGAAATGGACGTCAACATAGGCCATGAAGTGGGTTACACCATCCCCCAAGAGACCTGCTGCTCCGCCGACACTGTTCTGAGGTCTGTTTCTGACCTCTGAGTCTGTTTCACCGCTGCCAACAGCTTGCTTGAATATCATTTTAATATCATTGACAATGCATCACTTCCACTTGTAGTGTCACTGACTTAAACCGGTGAAAGGTGTAACTCTCGCAGAAATACTGTCCTAAAATGCAAAAACTCTCCAGTGGTATCTTTGATTTCTTGAATTTGACAAATCTGTGAAGATTAAAGTCAGGACTTTCTCACTTAGTCGCATGCGATGAACAGCTTAAAGCAGCCAGTTACGAAACCATATGTTGAACATACTGACTATTTGACCCCTGGCTACCAGTTCTACTTTTACACAATTCCTAAGCTTATCTTGGATAAACCTTTTAACGGTTTTATCTCAAAAGTAAACAAGACATTAATCCCCCCAATCTCAGCAGGAGGCATTCAGACCCTGTTTATACCCAACATGTCTCTCAGTTGAACCATTTAGAAAAGGATAGTTGACACCTGGAAAAATAGTGCATGTCAAGTGACCCTCTTAACACACAACACCTCTGCTGATGTTAAGTGATAGTTAACTGTTGTCATGTGTAGTCCAATCTTCCAGGCTGCAGTGGCTCTGTTGGCCTGGAAATTAAAGGGATATTCCAGCATAAAATTAAGTTTGGGTCAAACACCAAGTAAGACACCCCCTCGAGAGATGAATGTTGCAGACCGCTTGCTTCTCTAGTTATACCAACTTAAGTAACAGCCGCACGATAGCAATACACAGCGGTCTGAGGAGCCACAAACAAACCTAAACCAAAATGCCACAAATAATGCTCAGAACAGCACCTACCTTCATCAACAGTCCTTTAAGGGTCCCAGCCACAGCACTAGCCACCAAACATCTTTTTAACTTTTGCCTGATTTCTTTAGCAAAGAGACTAAACACAACTCACCTACTCTCCTCCAGCAGCTGCTTGTGCGTACGGAGACCTCGGGCGAGTTCATCGACTGCAGCGGGGTGACACAACTCAAGGAAGAACATTTATGATCATGACTTTGTCATTTCCTTCAAATAATGATCATCATATTAATCATTTTGCACTGCAGACATGGTCGTTCTTCTGCCTTACCTTCTCGGTGTGATTGCATTTCCATGAAGAAATGATCATAAATGTTCTTCCTTGAGCTGCGAAACTCCACTGCAGTCGATTGACCTGCCTGGAGGAGAGTAGGTGAGTTGTGTTTAGTCTCTTTGCTAAAGAAATCAGGCAAAGTTAAAAAGATGTTTGGTGGCTACTGCTGTGGCTCGGACCCTACATGTACTGTTGATGAAGTTAGGTGCTGTTCTGAACATTATTTGTGGCTATAGAGTGGCGTTTTGGTTGAGCATGTGGCTCTCTGTATTGCTATCGTGCGGTCATTACTGAAGTTGGTATAACTAGAGAAGCAAGTGGCCGGCAACATTCATCTCTCGACGGAGTGTCTAACTCAGTGTTACGGTGTGTTTCACCTGGCGTAAAATTAGGTTTTACGCCGGAATATCCCTTTCACTTGTTGCTTCTAAAGGGCTGTAGCATGGCCGTACAGTTTCTCCACTGTCAACCCCTCTGGTGGATTTCGTCCCTCAGGTACTGCACCGATGATATGCTTCTCAGAGAAATGATGTCAGATCCATTTCTGGAGCACTATGGAGTCGTCGTCATCGACCAGGCCCATGAGAGGACGGTAAGCACGGACATACTGCTGGGTCTCCTTAAGGACATTCTGCTTCAGAGGCCCGAGCTCAGAGTGGTGGTCCTCGCTATTCCGCCGATGACTGACAAGCTGCTGAAGCACTATGACAACACCCTGCTCATCAGTGTACGGGCCTTGCCTCCTGCTGAGGTGGTCTACAGCAGCAGTCAAAGCAAGGACTACTTCTACTCTGCGCTGAGACTGGTGCTGGAGTTGCACCGAACCAAAGAGGAGGGAGATGTTGTCGTGTTTTTGGCTTCTGATGAAGTAAGATTGATGTTCTCTACGATTAATTTCATCAAGCTGAGGCAAAGATTGGTTTAAGATGTTGTCCTCTTTTGCGTTGCTTTGTAATCCCGTCATAAGGAGGTCCACTGTGCCTACACCATCCTCCAGCGTGAAGGCACCAGGCTTGGAGCTGAACTTGGCCCTATGGTCCCTGTAGTCCTGTGTCCTAACCAGGGATGCTTCCTTCCTGACCTGGCTGAGCAACCACGGCTTTCTCGGCGGGTTTTCCTCTCTACTCATCAGGGGGAAGATATGTGGTGGCCAACGGAGTCTGTCAACTTTGTCATCAACACAGGAGTCCAAAAAACGATGGTAAAGTTTTAAAAAACGATCATGAAGAATGTTGTGATGAGGATTATTGTTGATGGCATGTGGTTTTTGGCTTTGCAGGTGTATAATCCAAGAATACGAGCACATTCAGAGGTCCTGAGACACATTAGTCAATGTCAGGCAAATGTACGGAAACAGCTCTCTGGACCAACAGGTGTGTAAATGATCCATTTGATACTATAGACCATCCACAGATGTAGTCTAGGCAGTTGGAGGACTATCTCTTCAAGAACTACACCCCTGATTAATGTCTCTAAAAGTTGCTTTCTGCTAGAGGAGCATACAGATTCAATCAGAACCTCTTCACTGAAATAACTTCCATGTCTTTTTTTTAAGGTAAATGTTTCTGCCTGTATCCAGAGGACAGTAAACTTCCTGCAGAGAACTCCCCGCAGATCCTAGAGTCCAACATCACACCGACAGTCCTCTTCCTGAAGCGAATGGAGATAGCAGGCCTTGGACAGTGCGACTTCATCGACAGACCAGGTAGAGAGAGAGAGAGGACGAGTTCAGGACTGAAATATTTTTAGATTCAAGCAGCTCATTCCCACACATGGCCTCCTGTTTCCAATCGAAAATACAGCCCAAGAGATGCACATAGGGAGGGGTCTTTTTTTGGCAAGAGGAAGCCTCGTCCAGAGGTAGTCGAGTATTTGCTCTGCGTAGCTGTTCTAGGCCAGTCAGCCATGATTAAGCTGAGTTGACAGGACCCTGCTACTAACTATTGTCTGAGCTCTGAACCACCCTAACATGAACAGAAGAGGCTACAAGAGGCCAGCTCATTAGTGATTATACAACATGTCTCATCCAGGCAGCACTAGACCAATACAATGAGGAGGGAACACTGGCCAAATGTACTCGCTCAGTATTCTGGCACTGGAGTAACTTGTCGAAATGTTTTTAGGCCAATCATCTAAACTTGTGACCAAGAGAGTCATTTTTGGATACTACCACTTTTAAATCATTTCTACAGGTGCTTTATGCTGCGTTCCAGTTACCTTGGAAGTCAGATGTCCGAGCTGGGAATGACGTCACACCCAAGTTCCCAGCGTTTTAGTTTCCAAGTTGGAAAAAAGCAAAATCAGAGGCGCAAACAAGATGGCTACATCTAAAATAACTTTTGTAGATGTAGCCATCTTGTTCCCGCCTCCAATTTTGCTTTCTTCCGCTGGGAACTCTGGTGTGACATCATTCCTAGCTTGGACATCTTACTTCTGAGGTAACTCGAACGCGCCATTAGTCCTGCTCGAGAAAGCAAGATACCACACGTTGGCAATGATGATCTCTGATTGAACTGTGCCGATCGATTCCTCATTGCAGATCCTGAGGGTCTCATGCAAGCACTGGAGGAGCTGGACTACCTCGCAGCTTTAGACGACGATGGCAACCTGTCTGAAATCGGCATCATAGTGTCTGAAATCCCTCTGGACCCTCAGATGGCCAAAGCTCTGCTGGCATCGTGCGAGTTCGACTGCGTGAGCGAGATGTTGACGATCGCAGCGATGCTCGCAGGTAGCTCATCTTTCACCCTTGGATTTCAAACTAGTGAAGGTTTTCTGACTCGATAGATATCGAAGCAGCTCAATTTGAAAAGCGCAAAGCTGCCGTTCCCTAAACTAGATCATCTTTGGTTAAAATCGACTTTGTTCTTTGTCCTTTAGCGCCCAGCTGTTTTCTTGAGCCGCCTGCTGGCATGACCCACGAGGCAGTGCAGTGCCACAGAAAGTTCCAGCATCCAGAAGGAGATCACTTCACCCTCATTAACATCTATAATGCCTTCAAACAAAGCCAGAGGGAACAATGTAAGACACAGCAGATGAGCAGAAACAGTCATGGTACATTTTTAGACTAATTGAAATCTACCTGGAAGCATCCTTTTCTTTAGCATCACGAAAGCATATTGGATATTTAGTGTGTTTCACATATGCTCTCCTGAAAACTCGTTCAAATTTTCAAAACAGCCTGCCCCTGAAATTTTCACACACCATACGGAGTTGTCCTTGTCAGGAGTAGAAGGATTACCACAAAAGACGTATATTGACAGTGTCAGCGCAGCAAGTAAAAGCATGTATTTACAAATAAAAAAACAGGCTGGTTGGAAGAAAAGAATATCAAGCAGCTTGCACAAACGTTGCACTGTTAACACATTGGTCGTGCAATAGTTGCATAATTTGAATGTCATCTCTCCTGCCCACTCACTTGCCTGTGGCGAATTTTCCTAATTTCTTTTCGCCTGCTGTGTTCAGTTCATCATGCTTCCCATGAAAATTTTATGAGGGGATCAACCGGCAGAAACAAATCTGGGCAAAACAGCAGGGGGGGGAATTTGACCGCTTGTGTTCACTGATGCAGCTGAACCTGAAAATTTCTGAAAATGTACTTTTGTCAATGCGGCTTTTGTTGTGTAAAACCTTTATTTCATTACAAACCCAAAAAATAAGAGGTTCTGAATACATATTAGGGGTATTATGAGCCAATATGACCATAGAGGAGTCTAAATAATTTGATTTCTGATGGATTGTAGTTACTAAATTGATGAAATTTGAAACATTAACATTCATCCTGTTATCCTGTTTTTTTTCAGTTTGAAGCCTTACCTCGCTTTGAGAATAATGCTCATCTTGTATCTGGTTTCTCCTTACCCAAACTCAGATTTCAGTGCTAAAAAGTGGTGCCAAGACTACTTCCTGAATCACTCTGCCCTGAAGACAGCCGAGGCCATCAGATCTGAGCTGACTGACACTCTGAACAGGATCGAGCTCCCTATCTCCGAGCCATCTTTTGGCACCAAAACCAACGCCCACAACCTCAAAAGAGCTCTGCTGGCTGGATTCTTCATGCAGGTACAAAGACGTACTGTCAGTTTGAACTATTCGCCTCCAGCGGTTTGTTTATATTTTCCTTCCTAATCTTAGATTGCACGGGATGTGGATGGATCAGGAAACTACTTCATTCTGACACACAAGCACATGGCCCAGGTGCACCCGCTCTCCTGCTACGGGGCTCAGTCACACAAGCTGGGGCTGCCGGAGTGGATTGTTTTCCACGAGTACACGCTGTCGGGGAATAACTGCATGAGGACGGTCTCTGAGATTTCCCCTCAAGTGTAAGTCAGCCTCTTTCTCATCTCATTGCCAGATGTGACCAAGGAAATTAAAACTAAACTCTTGTGGCTCATTCTTCCTCAAAGCTGAGAAATATATTGTGATACAAGAATTTATCATATTTTTAATTAGTCTTTTTAAATCTCCGTTTTTGAGGCTTTTCATCAGTATTCATGTCATTTTTCTTCCCCTGTCTCCTGTTTTAGGTTCATTCAAATGGCACCAGTCTACTTCTTCTACAATCTGCCCTCTAGTGAGAGTAAAGACATACTGCAAGACATGTTGGACCCTGTTGGCTCTAGTGAATGTAAGGATGAGAAACAGAAAGCCACCACAGCTAGCAGTGATGCCAACGGTAGCTGTGAGGTGACTCCACAGACTTACGACAGATGTTTAATCCAGTGATCTGAATTTGTAAGTGTGAACATCTGGACTGTAATATTCCCACCAAATGCTCTTAAGTGTTCAACACAGGAACAGTCAACTTAATAAGAAGTTGACACTTTCAGATGATGTTTTCTAGTTGCTTATTGTAATACTTCATACCACTTTTCAGTGCAGTCAAATACAGCATTTCTAACCTTGTGTTTCTATCATTATTCTTCTCCTTTTCCCCTCTCAAAACAGTCTGAGAACTTGAGACTCCAGACGGATGACTGTTTAGATTTTCAGACTTTAATGAGCAGCACAGGGGCCGCAGATGTTGTCTGTTGATAAACTTACAAAAAGGATGAGAAAAAAAAAAGTCACACAGGCTTTACCCAAGAGCAGAAAAAACAGATGTAGAGGACTCAGCGAAAAAAGTCATTTTTCACCGACTTCTTTTATCTGTTGCTTGTGAAAAGTCCTCCTGGTATAGTTTGTTATTATTAACTTGAAATATTATGACTGGGAAATGACAAACTGGCATACTGCAAGACAATCAGTGGCCATTATTAAAATATAATAGAAAAAATGGAGCCTGGTATTCTATTCAGTTAGTTAAAAATAAGAGATCTTTTTTTTTTTTTTACTAAGCTCTGTCCTCAGGAAAAATACAGATGTTCTACCTGTTTAATCCGTTTTTAGAGTTGTACCATTAATAAAAAATGTGACTGTTTACATTAATGCAGGTTTTTTATAATCTGTTATAAAGTCATAATCCTTGTAACTCATTAAAAAAAAAGGGTTTGAGTATTTTTTTATACTCAAATTTGCATGATCTTTTATAAAAATGTTTCTTTGCGGGTCTTTTTACAGTATACTGAACCATTTCCAAGCGTTGTCACTTCTGCAGTCCTAGTTTATTGTGAACCTCACACAGTCAGGTATTCTTTGAGTTTGTCCATAATTGCCGGCATCTTGTCTGCTGGTACCAGCATCACTGTCCTGAAAGGTTTCATGGGTACATCATCGAAAGACCACCTCCCGCTCAAACAGGAGTCCGCTTCTTCCTGGACCGAGTAATGGAACTTGATGATGGCTTGCTGTGATGAGAAAAGAGACATTTCAATAAACAGGAAACTCACCTACGAAATAATCCAAATACCATTTGCACTTTCTTGGTTTTACCTCGTAAAAGAATTCCTCCTCTGCGTTGACGAACATGTACTCCTCTTTGGGAGCTCCTCCTCTGGCTGGGATGCTCTTGCTCGCCTCTTTGCAGGTTTTGCTGATCATCAGACAGTAGTGACATCTCCCACTGGGTTTATTTGTCCTCTGAGCTTCAGCTATTTCATCCCTGAAGGACAGAATAACATCACATAACTTCCCTGCACAGAAAACTTTAAAAAAAGGCATTTTCTTTTTGTCTGTAAACAAGGACGCTTTTTATTTAATCAGTTTATTCCTCTGAGATACAAAAGATGCTTCTTCAAAAGGCAAGTACTTGCCACATCTACAGCATTTTCTCTACCAGAAAGAAACATCAGGTGTGACAAATAGGTGTAAAAATAAAAGGTCTGCTCCCTTGCTGTAGTTCCTTTTATTCTCTTAATCTTTCACAAACAATATCCTCTCCAGAGCATAAAAAAGAAGATAACACTGTAATTGGGATGTTGCTTTTTCAAAACAGAGAGAAAGAAACAGAAAACTTGTTGATGACTTGTTGTGCAATTAGGGATCCAAAGTGATTAACTTCCTAGCTGTTCGAGTGGAAAGGTAAGAAAAGACTCGGAAAACGGTCTAGATTGAGCTCAATACAGCAAACCGGGATCAAGAAAGTTTAATCTAAATTGTGCCTAAATCCCTGATTGACAGAAAAATGCTCACGCAGTCCAACATGCTAACTGCAAAACAAAAGGGAACATGTTGTACCCTTAAACTGAAAAATTTGCATCTAGAAAGCTACTCTAGATGTCAATAATGAATCAGGGAATCCTTCATTCCCATATTGTTGGAGATCCTTAACCATGCAGTCTGGAGCACATATTTCTCTTCAGGGAATGTTGAAAACATTGTAAAGAGACAAGAGTAAAACTCACTGGAGCTGTTTGTGCAGCGGGAGGGCGATCTGTGGAGGCACGTTGATGAAGCGCTCGCTCAGCAGAAGCCCCACAGGCTTACTGGTGTCACTGAGAATCTGCTCCAGCTGTTCTGTCACGCTGTGGGTAGAGTTCTTCTCACACTGGTCCACGATCAGCTCCTTCACCTCCTCCACACACTGAACACCCTGGAATTATTGTCGCATACGTGTATAAAGTCAGATTTACAGTTTTACCTGTCTACAGTTAGGAGGTAACATAACCACTACACATATGCATGAGCTCTATTAATTTTATGCCGGAATATCCCATTAAGAATGGTGTTTGCAGCTGCTGTTACCTTCCTCTCTGTAAGGTTGAGCATCGTGATAAAGCCGAACACTTCATCTGGATCGTCATCATCACTGTCCTCAGGAACCTCAGCTTGCTGAAGGAAAGGGGATAAATAAGAGATAACGTGTTATGGTTAAAAAAAACTCGGCCATATAATCTCAGATTGGGATTAAACTGATAGTTTAACTCACTTTAATGACACTTCCAACGTGATTCTGCTGAATGATGATGTCTGTCATCTCTGATGTGTTTACATGAGCCTTCAGAAAGAGCTGTTGTAAAAGTTTCTTGATACCGTTGTGGTCGTTGTCTGAAATAGTGTGAGCTTCAAAGTCCACGATCACTTCCTGGATTTAAAAGAATAAATAATAATAACAGCTGTCAATAACACAAATCTGACAAAATACACCAACTAAAGAGAACTTTTTAATCATATAAATAATTTTTGATGCATTTTTTGACTGTGTACGATATTTTACTGTAACTCAGTGGGTTTTTGGTTGCACATTATCAATCATCTAGTCTGACACCAACCCTATGACAGTACAATATTAAATTAATATAACTCGCAATCACTCCTTTTCGATGGGTTTTGTTGTCTTTCTTCTTAAAGAAAATACTCTGTTTCATTAAATGGTGAAAACTTCGAACGGGAAGTTAAAGATAACCAGAGTAAACAGCCACAGTCTGTAGTTTTAGTTTCCCGTTGCTACTACTCGACAGCTGGGTTAGCTAGCTGACTAGCAAGGCCATGCACTGACTCCTCATTCAAAGTCTTGTTTACTCTTTTACCTCGTTAATCTCCTCCTCCGACGCCTCGCTGTCCTCCTCCTCGGATTCATCATCGTCGTCCTCCAGATTCTCATCAGAGCTGTTCTCATTTTCTTCTGGATTTTCACCCAGTCCGACCGCTCTCCTCTTGGCAGATGAAGCCATGCTGCAAACAGATAACACGTTTTAGTGTGCGAGTGGGCGGGGCGAGGCTTACAGTTCAGCTACGGAAACGAAGGGGGAGGAAACTGACACGCCGAGGTCGCCATTTTGGCTCTCAGTAGAAATGGCTTTCCAGCTTCGACGGTAATCTACGGAGCCGTAATGTAAGCGAGTCGCTCCGTAGTAAAATGGAATGAACCATTTCAGAAGGAGGGGTTGTAATTTTTAATCTGAATTTTAACTTCTGTTACTTTCTATCCTACATCTATTAGATACGCAATTTAAGTTGGTCTACTGTTAGCAAAACTAAACAACGATATTTTTGCACTATTTGTGGTTTTAATAAAACTTATCAAATACTAAATGAGGTGGTGTGTCCCCTCGTCTTGAATCCATCCGTAAACGTAATGCTCCGAGCGGAAGAGACGACCTAAGGTACATGGATGTTGGGTAATACTATTTAACGATTAAGTATCCTTTATTGTGCATGTCAGACAAGAAATACAAATAAAATGCCCATTTTCACCCGGAGTCACGATTAAGTATAATGACAGCGACTTTTGTAGCTCGGCTGTCATTGTGCTTCGTCAATGTAAACAATAACACAGGACGCTAACCTCAGTTACTCTGCAGACAGTGACCCTAAAAGAGGTTGAATCTTTGCTTTTAACTCTCTCCTTGTTTTTATTCCAATAAACGTGACTCAACAGTATTGTTATCAGTCGGTTGCATGTGGCAGTTTGTCAGTTTTAGGGTGTAGCTTGAATTGCAGAGCCTCCACACCCTCTGTCCTCACTGTATTTACAGTTATCACTGTCATATGCAGGCTGGAGTTTTGGAGAAACATTTATATACTCCCATTTTTATATTCCCTTGATCCAGTGTTTTAAGGTCTTGGTCAAGATGCATGTTCTGCTTCTCAAAGAGCCAAGAGATGGAGAGTCAGGACCTGATCCCTACATAAAGGTAAATGCACTTAATTCTTTTGTAAATTACAAGCAGCAAAAACACGTGTTTACATAAGTTTCTTGGTGGAAATATTTTATAAAAACTGTACTTTTCATTGCACAGGAGCTTGCCTCACATGGACATAAAGCAACCCTTATACCAGTGCTTTCTTTTAAGTTTGTCTCATTAAACACTTTGTCAGATAAGGTAAGATAAGTGCATTACTACAGATTGTATTTGTAAAAAAGTACATATTTATGCCTCATGTGAGATGAACCAGTTGCTGTCCTTCAATTTTAGCTTTTCCAGCCAGAAAAACATGGAGGTCTAATCTTCACCAGTCCAAGAGCAGTGGAAGCAGTGAGGATGTGTTTGGAAGCTGAAGAAAGAAGACAAGGTAAGAGAACGAGAGAGAAAGTTCAAAATAAAAGCTGAGTTTTGTCCTGGGTGAGCTGTAACCATCTTCTGTTGATTTGACATCTAAAATACAAATGTAAGGGGTGTCAGTTGACCCTATAGGCCATCAGGAGACAGCAGTGTAAGGTTGTGTATCATCTGCATAGCTATGGAAGTTGCTGCCATGCTTCCTGATAACATTTCTGATGGGTAGCATATATACGTAGGTTAAAAAGTAAAAGACCCAAAATTGACCCTTGGGGAACACCATAGTCTACACTTCATTGTTTTATAATCAATAATAGTTGTTTAAGGGTTTCGACCAATGGGAATGGAGTGTTTAACCCAGCTCAGTTATTAGCAAGAAAGTAACAAATAAATCCTCAGAAATAATATGTCTAATTTGTTCGTCATGAATTTTCTATGCTGCTGACATAGATCAAAATCACCTATTTCATACCATTATTTTAGAATGGGACAATTCAGTGAAAGACAAGTGGAACACCAAGTCCATCTATGTGGTTGGAAAGGCGACTGCTGCACTGGGTGAGTTGCTGCACCATACAAAACACACCTTTTACCTCAATGTTTGTAGCTTCGTGTTTACTCTTTCTATGGTAACTCTAATTGCTGTAAGTGTGGCAGGCACCAGGTGCTGACAGAAGCGTGTGAGTTGCTGTTACAACCGACAGTGTTTTTCAAATAGGCTGTACAGAAGTGACAGTTTGGTGCGAGACACTGCAAATGTTTGCTTTCTGGAGGAAAACCAAGCAGGTGCTGCACCTGTCTGATATGTGCGGTTACTCCTTTCTTATTCTTTTGTCGCCAGGTTTTCAAAAGTTCTATGTCATTTAATCATAATACTTAAGATAGATTTAAAAATATAACCTATTTTTTTATAATTTCTTGCTTATATCTAAAGTATACTCTATATGTTACTAATTATGATCCCTTTTTTTTACCTGCAGTACAAAATCTGGGTCTGAACCCTCTGGGCGAGGACACGGGGACAGCAGATGTCCTATCACGCGTCATTATTGAGCGTATGATATGATAATATTCTTCCACATTCTTCACAATTGAGTTAAACATAAATTTCAGGATTGTTCTAATAAGTAATTTGACCTCATATTTAATTCTCATCGTAGGAGAGGACACAAATATCCCCCCTCTTTTTTTCCCCTGTGGCTCAATCAAAAGAGAAGTGTTGCCTACGGCATTAAGAGAAAATGGTAAGCTTTTTCCCTTTGTGCCTCACGGTACAAGCTCAAGGAGATACAAGTCCCTGAGGGGTTACACTAATTATAAAATAATAATTGTGCTACCTTTATCACCGTGGGGATCTGTTTCTTTTGTTTCCAGGAGTGCCTCTGGAGATGCTGACTGTCTATCAAACTGCAGAACATCCAGATCTGGAGAAAAATCTGAAGAACTTTTTCAAAGAGCAGGTACTAAGTCCACTCCTACTGTAGAGTAATATAGTAGGAGTGCACTTTAGAGAGCTCGTCTTTAAATGTAAAAATGAATAATATGTCCGTGCATTTGCAGGGCACACCAGCCAGCATCGCATTCTTCAGTCCTTCAGGAGTGAAGTTCTGCTTGGAAGTGGTGCGGAGGCTGTCAGGCGAACAGCTGACTCAGATAAAGGTACAGCTGACTCAAACTCACAGTAAATGTGCGCTACTTTAACACAAACCAGTGCCTCTGACACTCACTTCAACTTCTTTTATTTCCAGTTTGGAGCCATAGGGCCTACTACAAGAGATGCTATGGCAGCAGAAGGCCTGTGTGTGAGCTGCACTGCAGAAAAACCAACACCAGAGCACCTGGCTGCAGCAATAGCTAAAGCATTACAGGAGCAGCCTGCTGGCTCTTAAATCCAATCACTTTATCTTCACTTTGTGCATAATCTGTTATATTTAAAGTTTTGTTATTTGTCTTATTTCTTGTAAGGAGTTTCTTATTGGTTTTGCATGTACATACGCTGATATGCACTTTAAAAAGGAGCCCTCTGTGACAGAGAAAATGTGACTTAAAGCTTTTGTGAGGAACTTTTGGTTTGTATAGGATTTGGCGCCCCCTGTGGACAAGTAAGTACCTCTTATCGCTTTGACAATTTTGCCATATTCCTTAATAAGTAGTGTAATTTGACAAAAATCTCATGCTGTTTATTTTGACAATCAAATATATCTCATGCTAAGGACCTTTGCCGTGGAAAATGTGACTCCAGCTCCAGAAAAGTTTGGACGTGTGGAAAATGTTGATAACAGATGAAAGTTTGCAAGAAAGCCCTCTAAACCCTGTCTGCAATTGAAAATAGCGCAAATAACAAATGTTCAAATGTGAAAGTGTTGTTGTTTTATGAAAGACCTACTCTCATTTTAGATTTCATGCTAGCGACTTGGTTTAAAAAAATTGAAATGGGAACAAAAATGCTGAAAAATTAGTGTGATAATATAGTGATAAAAAGAAAACTTTGAATTTGTGTTAATTTTCCACAGGTAGTAACATGACTGGGAATAAAAAGGCAATTTCTCAAAAGTAAATGTGAGGATGAGTTCATCACTCAATGTTAGACCATGTGAGCAAGTTATTCAAGGTTTTCAAAATAGTAGTCCTCAGCTTTAAGTACGTGATATTAAAAATAATAGACACGATTCTGTAGTGGAAATCACAGCAGGGACTCTCTTTCAAAAACTACTGTCTGTGAACACAGCTTGTTGCTGCATGAACAAATGCAGGTTAAATCTGTACTTTGCAAAAAGGAAACCATTTCTAAATGTAATCCAGGAACTTCAAAGTTTCGACATTTGGTATATTATTTGATTTATAAACCGCCCAAATCTGTTTTGATCCACATTTTTAGTAGAGTCCTGACTTTTGGGGATTGGGGTTGTATTAAAAAATAAAGCTAAGTCAGACAGTGTTTGGTTTTTAGCTTCACCCGACACCTACCCTGCTGCTGCAGTGTTTACAGATATAGAAAATAACCACATGGAAATGGCTGGTCTTTATCCTAATGGTTTTGTTTACAATTTGAGGTCATGAAGAGGTATCACCATAATTTTCAGTCCATTTAATTACAAGCTAAAAAAAATCCTCACCAGAGCTTTATTATATCTGTATTTATGCATGATTTGCCTCAGGAAGTTGAGGGTGTAAGAGTTGTCTTGTAAATAAACTTTGGCCAGTGTGATGATGCTGACGGTTTGGTCATTCAGGTGTGTTTGTGTGTGTGTGTGTGTGTGTGTGTGTGTGTGTCCTATTCAGAGCAGGTGTTTACAGTTTTCAGCTGTTGTTGTCCACATGAAAGCAGCAGTTTTACCCTCTTTCCTCAGGTCAACAGCAGTCTATTTAAAACCAGTGAAGCATGTATCACACATCTCTACAAGTAAGTCAAAGTGAGTGGTCAGAAACAGTAGGAACTGGTTTACTCTTCACACACAGATGAAGAAAGTGGGACTTCTCTGGGTGTGGAGATGCTCAGCTCTGGACTATAAAGCTTTGTCCCTCACAGTCATCATACTTAAATCACAGGAGTTGACTAAGACCACGATGCTGACTTCTATCCAGCTGATACTTTTGCTTTTTTGGACGAGCATTAGCTCAGCTGATGCAGAGAGACTTTTCCACAGGAGGGATCATTCAGACGTGCAGAACCTGGACTCTCACCAAGCTGAAGTCATAACAGACAAGTACTCAGCAGAGGTAATTATCATATTTCTCACATTTAATGATCAATCATGGGAGGCTTAAAACAAACCCATTCCTGCTGTTTTAGTTGTATCTGTCTAGATATGGATTCATCAAACCAGTGAACTGGGAGGAGATCCAGTTTGAAGAGTCCACCTTTGCAGCGGACTTCCTGGATGACTTTCCCGATAAAATCCTGGAGGGTTCCTCGGCGCATCGCACTAGGGAGTCTCCACATGTTAGTGATGAAGACGCCAGGAGCAGTTTCATGGAGAGCCAAGCTTTTATTTCAGCACTCGAGGAGTTTCAGAGGGTGTCAGGTCTGCTGGTTACAGGCGTGTTTGATGAGGCCACAAAAGAGGCGATGAACAAACCGAGATGTGGAGTGCCTGACAGGGAGATTGAGCAGAACCCTCATGAAGAACAGAACAATAGCGACTTTGACATTGAAGACAGTTTTAGTGACACTTTTAACGAGACTGAGAGCAACAGCGTGGCGAGTAATACAACCGGCGACAGCACCAATGGCTCTGAAAACCCCTTTGAAGATGACATATTCAATTTTAACGACACAGAAAGTGCGCTCGGAGAGCTCTCGAACCACACCAGCAGTAATTACACGGATGATTCTCTCGTATTTGATCACATTTCAAATCAAACATCTCAAAATGATACTGAAATGGAGAGTCAAACTGTGAATCTCAGCCTGAAGTCAGATCAAAGCAAAGCAGTGCAACGCAGGAAACGCCACCTCGCCGCTCTGGTGTCTAAAAACAGGCAGAGGAGAGATTTGAGTGAAACAGGTTACATGGCTTTCTCTAAGAGGGTGTTGAAGTGGAGGCTGATAGGAGAAGGCTACAGCAGCCAGTTGTCTATTGAAGACCAGAGGTACATTTTCAGACTGGCCTTCAGGATGTGGAGTGAGGTGTCTCCGCTGGAGTTTGTAGAGGATACACGGTCCCCGCTGGAGGATGTGGATATCAGGCTGGGCTTTGGCACAGGTGGGTCCAGCTGTCAATTCTTAGGACAGCTTGCATTCAAACACTACTGTGGCGTCACCATAGTAACAATGGTTTGTTCATTACCAGCAATTCATCAAATCTGTCAGACGAGAAGCCAAAAAAGTACAGATTCTACCTTAAAATAGATTGAAATTTATATCCATGCATTTTTATGATATCCAAAAGGAAACAAGACCATCGGCGACAATCATGAAGTCTAACAGTCTGCAAAAATAGGAAGTGATATTTGTTAGCTTTGTGCAGAAACAGCTGATAGAAATGTTCACCAGATGGCCATTTTTTTACTTTCACAACTTGAATAAATACTTTTTATATCACCAAAGCTGCAGAAACAGCACTTTTTTTCTAAAAGCTTCTTTTTTCATTTGGATTTATGTGCACCTGTGCTATCTTGGGAATATGCTGGTTGTGTGCATAAACCTTAAAGGGATATTCCAGTGTAAAACTAATTTAAGGTCAAACACACCGTAACACTGAGTTAGACACTCCCTTGAGAGATGAATGTTGCCGACCGCTTGCTTGTCTAGTTATACCAACTTTAGTAACGACCACAGGATAGCAATACACAGCGGTCTGAGGAGCCATAAATAAACCTCAACCAAAACGCCACTCTATAGCCACAAATAATGCTCAGAACAGCACCTAACTTCATCAACAGGACATATAGGGTCCCAGCCACAAACATCTTTTTAACTTTGCCTAATTTCTTTAGCAAAGAGACTAAACATAAAACTAAAATAAATTGTGTCTGATGCAAATTGTGCCTCTGAATTCCAAACAGGAAGACATCTGGGCTGCAATCAGAGGTTTGACGGCACCGGACAAGAGTTTGCACACGCCTGGTTCCTGGGTGATATCCACTTTGATGATGATGAGCATTTCACTGGTCCTAACGCCGGCAGTGGGATCAGTCTCCTCAAAGTAAGCAGAATACAGCTAGATCATTTAAAACAATACACACTGTTAGAGAACTTAACATCATGACTGAATTTACAGCTCATTCGTTTCCCTTTTTAGGTGGCAGTTCATGAGATCGGCCATGTTTTAGGTCTCCCTCACATTTACAGATCTGGCTCTATAATGCAGCCGAGCTACCTGCCCCAGGAGTCCAGCTTTGAGATGGACTGGATGGACAGGAAGGCCATACAGCATCTCTATGGTAACAGCTCCACCTGCTGTTCCAGAAAAAGAAAGAATTAGATTTATTTACACACTTAAAGCAACAAACTAAACTGTGTGTTTTCCCTTTTTATCATCAGGGGGCTGCAAAGGTCGATTCGACACTGTGTTTGATTGGATCAGAAAGGAGAGGACACCCTACGGGGACGTTGTCATCCGCTTCAACACCTATTTCATGCGGGGCAGCTGGTACTGGCTGTATGAGAACAGGAATAACAGAACTCGCTTTGGGGACCCAGTGGCACTGCAGATTGGCTGGCGTGGAATCCCCATGGATGGAGTGGATGCATATGTGCATGTTTGGTCCAGGAAAAGAGATGCTGTTTACTTCTTTAAAGGTAAAAAAAAAAAAAAAGTACCATCCCTCATTTGCATACGTGCTAAGTGAGCTCATTTGTTTTGCAGTTTTCCCAGTATTGTGATTATTTTTGTTGAAGTGGGTTAAAGACATGTTTTGCGAATGTTTTCATGCACAGGTACTCAGTTCTGGAGGTACGACAGTGAGAATGACCAGGTGTTCCGACAAGACCCTGAGGGGAACCGCTATCCGAGATCAATATCTGAAGGTTTCCCAGGAGTCCCAAGTCCCATCGACACAGCTTTTTACGACAGGAGAGACTCCCACATCTACTTCTTCAGAGACACTCGTGTAAGTCTCACACTTTCCTTTTCTTTTGAAACAAGATGAGAGGAAAACAAAAGAAATTCATTTGCTTTATTGGAAACAATACAAGATCTGGGAATTGTGTTTAATCGTGGCCCCCTAAAGGCACCACAAATTCTGCCCTTGGGCCCCCTAAAATTTGGATCCACCCCTGGCCTAAAAATACAGTTTCCTTTATTTGAATCATAGTCGAACAATGCAAGTTTGTACAAGTTGATACACAATAAGCAGAAGAAAGCCCAAGTTGATCCACTTGTTTCTCAGCTTTAAATTCATTTAAACAAACCTGCCTCACGTCCTCTGTGATTTGTTTGTGTGTTGTAATTAAATTGATTTCCACATAAGAGGCAAAACAATTATCTGTTCAAACAGGTGTACGCATTCAACGTGGAAGCCAACAGCTTGGCAAGAGGCTTCCCCAGAAACATCAGAGATGTTTTCCCTGCAGTGGAGAGTGGAGACCATCCAGATGGCAACATTGACGCTGCCTACTTCTCTTACACCCACAACGCCGTCTTTCTACTCAAGGGCACACGCTTCTGGCAGGTGGTGGGCAGCCGAAATCGCTGGCGCCGGCCCTTTCTGCCACGGAATGGCCTGCTGCCACACAAGGAGGTGGATCAGCGCTGGTTCGACATCTGCAACGTTCATCCCACGGCACTCAAGCTAACACGGTGAGAGTGCCGGAGCAGAGACTCTTAGAAGACTGTTTCTGTGTACAGGTACGCTCTGCTCAGTCACCTGTTGTTGTAATGTTCAGACCCCAATTATCTTCTTTTCTGTAATGATAATTTAAGATCCTAAAGACAAAAACAAATGTTGAATCTGTTGGCTTTCTTTTAAATAAGGAGTTTTTTTGTATTAAAATGTGTCAGATTGTCATTTCCTAATGTTGCTGAAAAGGATGTGCTATTTTTGCTTTATTCACTAATTTCTACTCTTGGACTGAATGTCTGGGGAAACCTTTCATTTCATTTCATTTCATACTTTATTTCATTCAGTTAATATTTAAAACATCCAATACAAACAAGGAAAAATCTCAAACATTTGAATGAAAAGGAGCAGAAAGAAGAAAACTCTTACAGAGCCAACATCCCTTTTTTAAGTTTCCACAAAACGAACAGAAAAGACCACATTAATTCACATTTTTTCACCAAACAAACAAACCAAGACTTCGATGAACATATTCTCCTCAATTTACTGGCTTTGACACTTTTTTGAAGATAAAATTTGATTTATCTTTTTTAGTTTCTTTGCTCAGATTGTTCCACAAACTTATTCCTCTCACTGTAACACAGCATTCTTTCAGTTCAGTTCTGAATCTTGGCTTTTTAAATATTTCAAATCCTATAAATTATAACAACTTTCTCTTTTTTCAAATCAGCTCTTGATGTTGACTGGTAAAGTTTTCCTATGAGCTTTATACATAATCTGCAACATACTGAAATCTACTAACTCTTTGTATTGACTTCTACTAATAATTTCGTATTGCTCTTTTTTGTAACCAATCATGTAGTCATACTTGTATCATAACCACCTGCAGAAACACAAACCAATAGTTTTGACTAGGTTGAAAGAACATCATGTGACCTGGGAGATATAATGATGGGACTCCTCAGAGAAAATCCTTCCTGGCCTGGTTCATCCGTCACAGAGAATCAAACTTTTAAGCTGGTTTTGAAAGAAAACAATATTCAAACCTTACCATAAGGAAGAGGACTACTTCTTCTAAATCCCTCTCACTGTAAGAGGCATGGTTAAAGATTTACACACCATCAGTCAAACCAGAGCCTATTGAAATTTAAATTGCAGCAAAATGATTGAAAAGAGGCCTCATCTTATTACTTAATACTGTTCCATTTCATGGCAATCATACAGCAAAGAAACAGACATCGATTCTGTAATCGATATGTTACTTGAACGCTCTTATTAATTCAGCTCATCTGCTGAAGATTAAGCTCCTGGTGTGCCGCAGATAACTAGCGTACTGCTCCAGGCACTCTGTAGGCTATATTAATAAATAGAAGTAGAAATCAATTACAAGCAAAGGAACAAAATGTCACGGCAAGAGAGAGAACAGAGACAGATGTCATGGGATGGTGAGTTTACAAAATGAGCTCCTGTTTCTGCAAACACTCCAATTTAATTACTTTTGCATAGACGGGTTAGATTTAAAAAGAACTCAGGAAGGCTGCATTAACATTTCTCGTGTCAGAGCTGAATTTAAAGTTGTTTACAGAACACATCACTACTTTGAAGTTTGAAAGAGTAGCGAGCTATTGATCTCTAAAAAAAAAAACTGTTGGGTTGAACGGACTCATCTGGTCAAGAAACGTTTCTACAGGGGCGGATTTAGACATTTTTTGGACTGGAGTGGCTGCACAGAGGCACTGACTTATGAAGAGGTGGCCTAAAGTATAACCAAGCCTCAATGGAGCCCTAAGCAAAATTTGATTTTGGGGCCCTCTATTTCTGCCAATAATATTGATTGTTGATCTTGGCGTTTTTTTATCTTCTTCCTTATTCCTTTCTCTGCTCCTTTTTTGCGACATTGTTTTGCCGCACAACTACCTGCGCTTTGGATGCTCAGTGCACATTGCACAGCAGGAGGCACATAACGGTAGCAGAGCTTTGACATATCGGCAGTAAGAATCAAACGCCTACATCAGCAGCAGCACTAAAATGTTTTTACTTTATTTTATTTTACTTTTACAATAATATATATTTGATCATACAAAAAGCATCACTCATATATGCAAAAAATTAAAAATTTTTATTATTATAAATTTTTTTTTATTGCTCTAGGGGGCCCCCTATTGGCCGCAGGACCCTAAGCAGGCGCTTAGTTCACTTATGCCTTGGGCCACGTCTGCAAATAATAGATACACAGAGGCCTATTTCCATAATAATATAATATAGTAGTCAACAAAGACTTAACCTTGATAAAAGAACAAATCCTAACTGTTGAAACATTAATGTGAGATGGTTAGTCAGAGTTTAAAGCATAATCTTGGATTTTGATGTGGCACCTGGGGTGGCCAGTCCGACTTGAAAAGAAGGGGCTATGCATGCCACTCATTAGATCCACCCCAGCTCTCCTAAATCTTAGCGTCAACAACCTGAGTCAGAATATTTTAATTAAAGCCCACTAATGTGTTTATTTTTTCAATTTTAAATGACGAATGTGGCTGTTTCAGGGTGTTAAAAGGCCATGATGGGCCTTTTAACACCCTGCTGTAAAAGCATCAAAAGTATACAACAAGTACATGGTGTGCCCCTCTTGGTTCAGTTTAATTGAAACATTTATCGATCTAAAATTATTCCAACAAGCAAAGGCATTATAAAACCTCCAAGCTAGCTCTGCAGCATCCAGTAATTCAGAGTGGTGTCCCGATTGTTGGAGTCTGAGTGTTTATTGCTGCAGCACCTTGCCGTGTATATTTGACATTTCAGCAGGAATAATTGATAGTCTAATAATAAATCCTGTATAGAAGATGATTTGGCGCAGTATGAGCTCGTGATCTGTTTGTTTATCCCATTATGAAGCCCCATACATCTCCTTCACCCCGGAGTTCCTCACACAGAGAAATCCAAAGTACAAACTGTTATTCACACATGCGAGTCCCCGGCTGCAGCTCTGCACAGCTCAATGATCTAACAGTGAACAGTGATCTATTGAAGCTCCCTACTCTCTGCACCGCGGGCCTCTTTGGATGCCACTAGGATAAATGAGATCAGTCATGCTGATGGAAGAAGCAGCCCCAGAGAGATACACAAACCTGTGTCATGGCACAGGAATCCACACGGGAGGCACTTTAGAAACAGGAGAATGGGATTTAGACTCCTGCAGCATATTTTTTATAACACACAAAAAAAAAATCTCCCAAACTCTGCCAAGTCGTGAGAATAAGTTGCACTGCTGTTGCCTCATTTCTTGTCTCAGAGCGCTGAGGGGAAACATAGGAATGAATCACTCTGAGTGTCATTTCCACTGAGTGTCATACAGGAGGGTGTCTTTGTGTGCGCCGTGGGATTAGCTCAATAAACTGCTGCATTTGTAGATACAGTAATGTTGTGTTTAAATGTATCAGCCGCAGGATTCAGCCTCTCAAGGAGATCCTTCTTGTTGCAAATCCCCGGGGTTGTATTGATAGTTGGTTCAAGGATAAAATCCTTATTCATAGAAGGAGAGCATTTGCACTGTAAACAGTTACCGTATTTCCACTCTGATTGAATAAATACTTTTCTTTCTTTGAGTATCACCTTGTGAGAAGGATGTTGAGCAGTTGTTCAGCTTGAGTTGATGGACTTTACTTTTTTCATTACATATGTCATAATACTGGGACTATACAGTGAAAATCCTTCATTCGCTGGGCAATTACTGCCATTGTAGACAGAGGAAGTGAAGTGAAAACCTCATCAGGTAAAGGTATAAACAGTTCTATTACTTCTTTGAGTTTTTCATATATGAGCAGTAGATGTGGAGTGCTCTCATGCAGATAGAAAACCTTCCTGCATCCCATTCCCCTCCTACACCCTTTTGATGCTTCCTCACACTTTACTCACTATAAACCATCGACTGAAAATCAAATCCATATTTTCTGGTCTTTATCTTAAACATGCATAGAGTAGGTTGAGGCTGAAACCAAAATTCAGTCACTGCATGGTTTTAAAAAAGGCATCTCTCATATAAAAGCCATATCAGGGGGTATCAATTAAAGGTACAGTTACTGTGTGTATTGTATTGATTTGCATTGATGGAAGTAGAATAATCGAGGATCATAATTCTCATGCATCACAGGAACGTGAATCTGAGATCCCATCCCAAAAATAATAAAATATGAAGATATAAAACAAGACTGGGACAGGTGACAGCAGAAAATAAGGGTCAAAATCAATGTAACCTTTCATAGTTAGTCTCAGTAGAGTCCTGATACTTAAACGAATGTAACCTATAAGAAACATGACAGACAATTTAACTAGACGCTCCATAATCCTCAATTAGGTACAGGCAGCTGGCTGCTCACCGTAAACCAAAACTAGCTTATGACTTTATCTCCACTTGTCATAATGTTATAAGTCTACCTCGGCTTTACTCTCATACTATACCCTTACTACAACTTATTTTTGACCCTACTGGATGAAAAATGACGTTAAAACACATAATTTTTCATGTGGCTCAAATACTCAGCCATACACAAGAAATCGTGGCTTTGTTTAGCATCGCTTCGCTAATGTCAGCTTGTGTAACTAAAACAATGAAAAACTCATAATCAGTACATGTTGACATGTAGTTATTGTAAGACTGGTTTGTGCTCAACTCCTCTTCTGAATAGCTCCATTTTTAACAGTTATCAGGGGGTTCAAGTTTTCTATGATTGACACCTGATACAGCCTATAGGCGTACGAAGACTGCGGAGCTAACCAGGGGGATACGCTGTTTGAGCAGAGTGTCACCACAGAGTGTCTCGGTGACTCTCCCGCTAAATGCGTACAATGCTACTGCACAAGTGGTAAGGTGCATACAACGCTACCGCGCAATGTTGGTTTCAGGAAAAGAAGAAAAATCGCAGAAATACTGAGAGCTTTTTGGCTTCAAATTCGTATACTGGCGGGAGGCGAAACCAAGTTGTACATAGTATATACAGTCTATGGTTAGCATCCTTAGAAATGCCAATAATCCGCCTGATATCATTGCATTGTGCTTTTTATTTCGAAGTCCTCACCAGTGGTAGCTGATCAATAGAGGGCGCTAGGGCGCAAGGAGAATGGTGGTAATATTTTATTAAAAATAAGTCAAATTTAGGTTTAGGTTTAAAAATGAAGTTAATACTTTGACTAACTAGGTAAAGTGAATAAGATGCAGTTAAAATGTCGATTAAGAGTTTTCTACCTATCGAAATTTACCAATCAATCATCTGTTTCCGGCCCTGAGGCTGCACGTGCGCATTTTCCAAGACGCCTTGGACCGGAAGAACGTAACCGTTAACTGTTCTCAGACCGCACTTCTGTTACTACTGTTTGCAGTAATAAGTTTACTAAGTAACTTTTGTCATAATTTTATAACATTAAAACCATTATCTAAGTTTTGATGGAGTTGTTAATCGCTCGTTAATTAGCCGCCAACTAATCCAGATTAAACCGCAAAGCAGTATTTTACTGTTGTTTACACTCTGGACTCACTGGCTACAGGAAAATACGGCAAAGGGAAAGCTGAGTTCATCACATGCCGACTGACCTCGGATTAATTTCTCTAAACCTGAATCGGAACAACAAGAGTGGAGCTGCAGATAATAACGTGGACAGAGGATGGTATGTTACCGGCAAAACAAGGGTCTGTCTCCGTCAGGTAGAGGATGAAGAGTCCGCTCAGGAAGACGGTGAGTCCTCATCGCAAGTTTTACAGTTTTAGTTCAAAACAGGACATTTTCTTTTGGGGATACAAGGAGAAGCTGAGTCCACTGAGATCAGAGAAATGTTTTGATTTTACATGTTGTGTTGTTTTGATACACCTGCTGATACAAGTTCCTAATATCACAGGGACAGTAAATTCTGGAAGAAGTGTAAGCTACTGAAGTATAAATTACAGGTTTAAGTGACAGAATGACTTTTATGATGCAGTTACTTAGTGATTAAGTCAGTTTTAAAAGGAGGTAGGAGTCACACAGAGGTGCATGAAATCTACGGTGGCCAAGAACCACCACTGCTGTAAATAAAAAAGAATGCAAAAAAAAAAAAAAAAGCCACAATGAAAGTTAATGACGCAAAAAAAAAGTGGCGATGCAAAAACAAACAAAAACGTTACTTGCTGTGAAAATAAAAGTTTACAAATAAAAAAAGGTAAGGGTCAACATATTTCAATGAGTAAAGCTCCCGAACTGTAAAGCTACGGAACTCAATTCTCCTCTCGTGGGTGGTCTTTCGGGCGTAGTGGGTTTCCCATGTTAGCTGAAGCTAACACCATACCGGCATCCTCCAGGCGCACTCATGGCCTCACCAAATGACACATTGAAAGGCACATGAAGCAAAATTAAACAATAACCTTTCCACTTACTTCTTTGCTTGTCTTCTCGTCGCCGTTGTCTTCTGTGGCTAGATCGTAAAATGCAGCTACACCATCATTATTCATCCCCGGCAGCTCACTTCCACTGTGGCTTTTTTTATTTGCATGCTTTTATTTTCACAGAAAGTATTTTTTTTTTTTTTAATGCAACGCCACTTTTTTTTTTTTTTTTTGCATCATTAACTTCCGTTGTGGCTTATTGTTATCTGCACCATTTCTTATTTTATTTGCAGCAGACTTTGGTTTCTTTCTTTCTCTTTTTTTTGACATTGGTGACCTCCATTGTGGCTTCTTTTTTTTGCATTCTTTTTTATTTGCAGCAGTGGCAGTTCTCAGCCTCCATAAAAACCTCAACATTCAAATCAAACGGAGGGAAATAATAATCACTTGTTAACAAGTGCATTGAAAAAAAAGGTAGAGGAGAAGAAAATGGTTGAAAACTGGAAACAATATTTAAATTTCAGAAGTCTTTAGACAAACTTAGACAGGCCAAAAGCATCCATACGTGTGGTACCCACTGTGAAGCCTGAGGTTACTGCAGTGTGAGAGTGTAAATGAAAAACCATGATACTGCCTTCACACAGTTTGAACTCCTCTTCATGAGTAGCCAGTAGAGGGCAGCCTCGACACATAGAAGTTGATTTAAAAGCCTGAGGTACTGCTGTGTGGACCCTCACACTGTCAGTTTGAGGTATATTTGTAAATGTATTATGTGAATATTGTTTTTTTTACTTGTTTATAGGCATCTTTCACATCATTTACAACAACAAATATATCGAGTTTTTGATTAAGGAGTTGGTCTGAGTATCTTGCGGGTAGTTGTTCTCGCCCTGTGTGCCATCTCAGAGTACTTGTGGGTGTATCTTTTGTATTTTGAGTGCAGAATAAGAAACAGGAGACTTTTTTCCCCCTCACCGGGTCTGCAGAAATGCTGACATGTACGCATGTGTGACAGGTTATGGTAATGCATTTACCTGGGTGCACACACTCTGTACTCTATGTTTGAAAGGGAATTTGTTGCTGCTGCCAAAGAATCCACCACCACCCCGGGCTAGAGTGGGGATCAGCATTTATTCTGCAGTAATAAGCGCGGAATTCAGACTCTCCTGAAAAGCGGATTTTGAGTTAAAAGTTGTCGTGCGCATTAGCTCTGAGTGGCATCGTTAACAAGGCTGCGGCTTGTTTACAGTGGTTCAGAAATCAAGCAGTCTCTCACCTCTCTACGCAAGAGACACTGTGGAAATGCACGTACACTCCGGCGGGAACACACACACTCACACTCACACACACACAGATGTTGTGTCCCTCTCCCTCTTCTCCTCTCCTTGCCTTGCCCTCACGTAAAGAAGTTGGGATTAAAAGAGAAAAACACTGAGTGATGCCTCCGCGACTGCCTCTCAATTTCACATTCAAATCAATATTTCAAAAGCTCTTATCATCAAATACTTTCCTGGGAAGGTGCTCCTTACTGCGGATCTTTAATGTCGAGGAGAGGTAAATAGGATTTGGGATTCACAAACCCCGGCTTTCATGCTCTCATTATGCCGCGAAGAAGGAGAAACTCTGCTTTTTTGTGATGGTAAACTGTAAGTCTCCAGTAAAAACACTACTTCAGACACAGAGGAGGCATATTTATGACTTTTTTCTCCTCCTTGGTTACACATGTAAGCAGGAGTCACTGTGCCAAATGAAAATAGTACAGTAATTACACATGTTCTCTTGAGAATAGTCCATGTATCACATAGACTAATTTGAATGAGGAATCTAAATCATGCAAGTGTAATTAAGCGTTGTGTAACCTCATGCATAATGCAGCCTTTAGGTATAAGGACTAAATACCTGCTAAACTAAGAGAGGGGAGAGTGAGGAGAAATGAGACCACTAAGAGCAGCCGCCCTTTTAATTTGTCCCCTGCATGCAATTTGGAGAATTTCTCCCACCAGTCTGTCACAAGCTGAACCTTGACCTTTGCCTCAGGAGGAGTCATAGAGACAAAACAAGGGGCTTTCTGCTGATGTCAGTCTGAGTGGCAGCTGCAGGTCAGTGGGGGAGGGACGAGGCTGTCCCACGCATGGCCACACAGAAAGTGACAGCCCGGACCCCGAGTCTTGAGATTTGAGTGAAAGGGAAGGTACGTGCCGTTTTTAAGTTTCATGTCTGTTTTGTTTACTTGACTTTTGAGGGGTCAGAGCACAGAAAACACACACTTTGTCCTTTACTCCTCTGAGGTTTTTAGGCATTGAGACAGCTCCACAGGAACTGTTGACAAAAAGTAGTACTTCTAAACACAGTGGGGGTTATTCAGTGAACAGACTCAGTGATAAGACCAAAGATGAGGATCTGCAGTGTCTGCAGATGCAGTAAAAAAGTCAGATAAACTGCAAAACAACTCAAACTTAGAACTTTCTCAGACTCAGAGGCAGAAACTTGCCACAACGGAAGTTACCGATGGGGAAAATTATTCTTTTCATAATTAGGGTGCAGCTCTGCGGCGAAGCCCTATTGTAATCCAAGGGGTTCTTGATTATTACTTATATTATAATAATAATTATTATTGTTGTTATTATTTTATGCCACCTAAAAACGCAAATTTGACCCCCTGAACAGCTTCGAAAAATTCTCGAAAATTTGCAGGCAGGTCGGCAAAAAATGCGATGTTTTAAAAGAACCCAAATAAAGGCTCGCTAGCGCCCCCTACAGAGCGCCACGAAAGTCGACTTTGTCCGATCTGCCCGAAATTTTACAGGCACGTTTATCTTAATAAGATCTTTGATTTTGCGCATTCTGACTTTTTTCTCAGATGCACGGTAAGAGAGTTATATCGCTGTTTACGCCTCCTTTTGGCCATTTGCATATGTCACATCAAACGTATCTTGTTTTCATTGTTCTTACTTGCGCTCCTCACCACCATGCATTTCAATATCATGAAATGACACCCGTGTGAGTTTGTCTATTTCATTTAAATCAAAACGTCCTGTAGTAGCTTTAAAATAAAAGCTGTGTATGAGGGCAGATGAAATAAGCTACAACTGTTTTTTTCTTTTTCTTAACAGTTTATTCATAAATCCTACAAAGAGGAATGAGTACAGACTGCTGTAAACTTTTGCTGCAGCTCATTCCAACGATCTGGCCTTTCTCTTAGTCCCAGAAGTCTGAAGCGTGGTTTTGACTTTATCTCTCTGATAAATGTGTCCACAGCCTCTGCAGCAAAAACACTTGCTTTACTTGTAAATTCACAAGCACCAAACGAGGAATTTGTGACGTTGCATCCTCCCTCTCATCCTCCTTGTCCATCTCACTCCCTTATTTGTCTCTAGATCCAGATCCTCCATTTTCCCCTCACCTCAGCAACCCTCCCTCCCCTCTCCATCCTCTCTCCATCCTCTCTTTCTCACCAGAGGAACAGATGGGGTTTAACTCAGGGGGGAGTGATAGTTGGATGTGAACAGTGACTTACTTAACAAGGGGGGGAGGGTGTCACACTTCATGGTACATGCCTGTGTGTGAGAGAGAGTGTGTTTGTGCGATCAGGTTTAACTTTATTAACCCAAACCATTGGCTATATCCGAGGATTAGGGACACGTTTCGGAGGAAAAGTCGACTTGTAATGTTGCCATGGTGACACATCTCAATTCAGCTAAATACACGTTAGTTTGTGTGTTCAAATACAAATACAAGCATGTAAAAACAATAAAGATATTACTATGGGGCAACGCTGATTTGCAGTCTTAGTTTTGAGAATAGGGGCAAAATCATCAAGGTGATAAAGGAAGAAAATATGTTTTGCTGTGTTCGAGTCACCTCGGAAGTCAGAAGTCGGAGCTTAAAATGACGTCACACCCTAGTTCCTAGCATTTCAGTTACTAAGTTGGAAAAAAGCCAAATCGGAGGCCTGAAACAAGATGGCTACGTCTATAAAAGTTATTTTAGCGCTAAAATAACTTTCGTAGATGTAGCCACCTTCTTTCCCCCTTGGATGTGACGTCATTCCCAGCACGGACATCTGACTTCCGAGGCAACTCGAACGCAGCATTAGCCATGACAAAATGTATGCATAAATACCAGCATTTATCAGCTTTATGAGACTTAAAGAAAAACTTTTTAACGTAATTTAAGTAACTGGTACTCCTGTCATTTTACTTTTGTGAAAATTTAAAAAAAGTATAAGATAGCCTACTGCTAAATTTTCACCAAAGCTGTTATTAAAACGGGCGTCACAGTGTGAGATCACGACATGAAAGCGATCCAGTAGTGTCTTCATCATTTTATCAATGTAAAAGGGTGGACATCGCCTCACCTTTTACAGAGTTCGGCAGATGTCCCAACTCTGAAATCAACTGCAGTACTTTTCGTGAGCAGACAGTATCCACAGTGGGATAAGGAGACAGTGTCAGTCATGAAAACAGCTAAAAAATGTGGTTCTTGCTGAGCCAAATGATCCCCACCACAAAAAAGAGCCAAAATTATCACCACCAGGATAGTTAAGAATAACTATTTATTCCCGAAGGGGAATTCAACAAATTCAAATTCAGTTGTTTACTTCAACTTTATTTGTATTTGTATGGCATTTTTAAGACAAAAAAAATGTAGTTCAAAGTGCCTCACAGAGGCTAAAAACAACAGTTGTTTTCTTCAAACCCTGCTCATACATGGTTAGATGGATCACAGACTGCACAGTCTTGGTAGATGAAGTAATCTGTGGATCTGTGTGGATATAATGTGTTTGGATTAAATCTGTCACTGGACCTGGATTGCGAAATTTTCCAGCAGCTCCTGTAAAAAAAAACAAAAAACATGTGAATCATGAGGATTTTGGTGCCCACTGTAAACAAAGTAGCATGTCTTCACCTAATTAATTTTGTCTTGTCCATTTATAGGTGATGTTTTGGGCAAAAAGAAGTACATCGACTTTCCCTCATTCCTGCTAACAGTTAAACACATCACTCAGTTTGAGTATTTGTGGTAGAACGATTTAAAGAACAGGCTGCAGTGGGCTGTAACTCATTTGTCAGACACCAACCCTGCAGCAGCAGCAGTTCAGGCATTAAATATTACAATTGAGAAAAAAATAATCCTGCTGCTGGTGGTCCTGTTTGCTTTTGTAGCTCACACAGAGGCATAAATATAAAGTCTGATTCATGACTGGCCAAAAACTCCTCGCTGTGGTTGTAAATAATTCGAAAACAGTGAATAGAAACATACGGCGAGTGGAATTAATGAAATTAGGTGTTTTTTGTGATTGTCAGGATGAAAACCATGTCATAGTAATGATGGTCAAAACTCCAAGTAATGCCTCACAGTCGTGTGGAACGGGCTGGTGTGTTGTCCTCACTCGGTCTTGTGAGGCCTTCAGCTCTTCACATGCTTGCCGCCCTTAACAAGGCCCCCAGCCCACACAGAGAACAGGCTGCACTAACACTGGACACCGTGAATGATGGCAACTCTCACCCCCTGATTCTGTTCGAGGGGAGCGAGCTACACAAGAACTCTGACATGTTTGCTCTGCAAGAAAAAGATAATGCTGTGCTTTAAAACCCTGCAGAAAACATCCTTTTATTCTCCTCTTTTATTATTGTATTTGCCAGTAAGTGATCTGGACCTAATCTTACAAACTGCTTCTTCCTTTCTTCAAGTGTTTTTTTTTTTTCCTTTAACACATAAGTGACAGTATTCTGCGTTCATGAAAGATGCATTTCCAGACAACAAGAACAGCAGGGTAGTTGTTTTGCAGCCTCCCAGCTGAGACCGGTGTGAAAATAGACCTCTGAGTTGTTCTTCTCCAAACCGCTGCCATTTTTCATGAGTGTCAGCTGAGGACTGTTTTTCATATGTCAGTGTCAGTGAGATTATATTACGTTACAACCTCTGGCGGGTGTCAACATTTTTTTTTTTTGAATGCACTGAACAGCACATTGGTAAAATAAGCGTTGCATGCTTTTCACATTGAAGGATATGGCATGTATTCTAACCTATGCTGTAGGAAGTGCTGCGTGTCAGCCATGAGAGAATTATGTCTTCAGAGAGGAAGCTCTCTCCCGCTCCATGTTCATGCATTACATTTTGGATCACTCAATAGGCAGGAATCTTGCTGCGAGCTGGAGTTTGGGCTTTGGCTCCCTCCCATGTAGGTCACACCTTATTATGACAAATTTAAAAAGTTCTCGCCATGACTCCCTGTTTGGAAAATGAGAAGGAGGTCCCCTGTGTGCCTGTGTGTCACGGATTTAAACGGCACCGTTTCACCTCCTTTTCTGGAGCGTTTTGTTTGATCTAAATGAGAATCGGGAGAAAGTGGAACAGCTCGTGAAGGAGCACTGAGAAATCCAGACTGACGTTGCCACCTCCTAGCCCTGAAATTGTGCGGAGTAGTTGTGCCAGTCTCTTTGTTTGGAGATTAATGTTGCGTCAGTCACATTCTTTGTATGAGGGACACCAGCCAAACTGCATGGTGAAATCTAGCGACTCTAAAAAACACCCATTCTCATGCAGAAGAAAACAGGAGAGCAGCATTTTGGAGAGAATCATAAATTTATCTGACATGCATGGGCTCCTGCTGTTATGAGCCATTGATATTCTGCCAGTCAAAGCTTGCCATTTGTGGCATCATCAGCTTCTGTGTTTTAACTTTCTATGTAGGTGGAACGTTACTGGGTTGTATTGAGCGGCTGCACAGCTCCGAATTAGGAGGCCCCCTCTTACTCTTGCTTTTTTTTTTCTTTTCTGCAGGCTTTGCTCAGGGGCATGACACATTTCTGAGGGGCTTTGGATCCCCTCGCCTGATAATTCCTTCAATTATTCAATGGCTGGCTGGCAGATGAAGTGAGGCCATGAATAAAGCAAATCTGTGGGCATACGAGCTCTGACAATGCAAACACACCATTAACTTTCATTTCCTCTGCTCATCCACGAACATACGCTTGTGTCTTGAAAACCGGGCGCTGCTAGAGGTATCAAAAAAGTACACACAGTCTTTACTTAATAAAGAGATAGTTGTTTAGAAATAGTCTGATGAAAGTATAAGAACTGGTTTAACTTGTTTACCGCAGTAGGAATGGAAAAGTTCAGGTTCCCACCATAATTTTAAGGCCATAAGTTTTGACAATTTATCACTTCAAACAGGTTTATAAAAAGGGAAAACATATAGAGAGAAAGAGGAGAAGGAACGTGATGGGGTGAGCAAGACCCATGTAAAAAATCAACCTCTCACTATACATTATCCTACTTATTTACTGGTTACAGTCTAAAGATATGATTAACAAGATGACACAAAATACTGATTTCATGCCGGCCAAAAAGTGTGACAGGGTAAGCAAGAGCACCCATTCACTATACATTATCCTACCTGTTAATTGGCTACTGTTTAAATACTTTTATAATTTGATACAAAGTATTTATGTAAAGGTGCAGAAAAAAAAAAAAAACAACAACAGGGTGAGCATGACCCACTTTAAACACCACCCACTCACTATACATTATCCCACTTATTAGTTTTCAGCCTCTTCACAAGATGACATATTATTGAACTCCTGTTCAAGTTAAAACATTAGCCTTTTTTATTGTTATTTATTTATTATTATTTATTGTGTCAATTTCAGCTTAGGTTAGATAAAGGGAATAGGACTTATGCAGCAATATTCATGTCAACTTTCAGCTAGCACTCTTTCAAGGGCTTTGCAGTTCACACCTTGAGACATGAAGAGGACAAATGCTTGATTCCTAACATTGTTTCCACCATCACTGCTGCTTAAAGTTTATAATGACTTCAGCTTGGAGATGTATTGGTTTGATTTGTCATGTGATCAAGTTGACTTCTACTTGGATTTAATCACTGTTGCTTTGAAGTTTTGACCAATCAGAGTCAGGCTGGGTAACGAAGAGATAAAATGAACAATAATTCAGCTCTAATAAGTTGTACTGATGTTGTTGCAAGCTCTCTACTTCTGTACTCCATCATGTCTCTCACAGCTCATCACCTTCTTTATGAGATATAAATTACTGCTCCATCCATTAAGGTTGATATTGGTATTGTAGGTAAAGATGGTGCAATAATGCAAAATAGAAATAATTGATAATTCCCTCCTAGCTAATAAAACTAGTCTTTCAAAACAAAGAGAGAAAAGAGGAAAAGATTTCAACAGTAAAGTACAGATACTTGAAACCACATGAGGTTCAGTAATGTACCAAAGTAGACTGTTACTACCCACCTCTGGGCCCTGCAGGCAGAGGTTGGTGATTGCACGAGTTTGCCTGCAGATCTCTCCAGCTGAACACCTGAATATTCAAGCCCAAAAAGCAAAGTTAGGCGGGGGGTCAGAGCACTCCACTGAATCCAAGCCAAACTCCTGTAGGAGGGAGCTGTGTGTCAGGTCAGCTCTGGGGATCTTTCTTTCATCCTCTGCAGAGGTCTTTGTAAAATCAGGCCGGTTCTTTTGCAGTTCTTGCTCGTCATGACTTGGTAGAGATGATATTATTGTTACGCCCTTAAAAAATGGAGCGAGATAAAAGCGTGAGTGATATAGGGATGTTTCATTGTGCAGGAAGGACTGAGGTCAAATGAAGTCATACAAGCGTATCACATTTTACACATTAGGAGGGAGTGAAAATTACTCACCTGCTTACAGTTATGATAGTAAACAGGATTTACCTAAAATATAAATATCTTTTTATCTTTTTTTTTTGCCTTTTACCACTCAACACCTTTTACTTTAAACTCAGTAAATACTCTAAAAAAAAAAACATTTAGCTGTGTAAGGTGTATTTGAATGTGAATTTGCCTCCCATACAAGAGGCTTAACTCAACACAGCTGCAGGTCTACCTCTGTGGCTTAGCAGGGGATGCACTCACACTCACACACTCTTAACCACTCCTACGTCTTAAAGGGATATTCCGGCGTAAAATTAATTAAGGGTCAAACACACTGTAACACAGAGTTCAACACACCCCCCGAGAGATGAATGTTGGAGACCACTTGCTTTTGTAGTTATACCAACTTTAGTAACGACCGTACGATAGCAATACACAGTGGTCTGAGGAGCCATACATAAACCTCAACCAAAACGCCACTCTGTAGCCACATTATTTCTTTATGGTAATGCAATCAGACCAATTCTGCAATAAGGCAGAAGAACTACCATGATATAGTGATTATTACTTCAAGGAAGTGATAAAGTAATGAGCATAAATGTTCTTCCTTGAGCTGCGTCACCCCGCTGTAGTCCGTTATAGACTGGCCAGAGGTCTCGCCACAAACAAGCAGCTGCTGGAAGAGAGTAGGTGAGTTGTGTTTAGTCTCTGCTAAAGAAATTAGGCAAAGTTAAAAAGATGTCTGTAGGCTAGTGCTATGGCTGTGACCCTATATGTACTGTTGACGAAGTTAGGTGCTGTTCTGAGCATTATTTGTGTCTATAGAGTGGCATTTTGGTTGAGGTTTGTTTATGAGTCCTCAGACCGCTGTGTATTGCTATCGTGCGGTTGTTACTAAAGTTGTTATAACTAGAGAAGTAAGTGGTTGACTGTACAATTTCAAAACGAGGTAGAATAAGAAAAAAGACGCTAACATATTTTTCCTTAGCCTCAACTGTTCTCAAGTAAATACAAACACTATGAATACATCGACAAATGTAAACATCTGTCACAAAAATCTATTTTTTTAATGATGCCTCAAATGCACATAAAAGCTATAAAGAAAAGCTGTCAGCAATTTTTCCCAAAGCAATTAAAGTCTGTAACATTAACTTTTATTCTAAATTAGAAGCTTTTTTGTCCCTTTTGGCACACCGTAGTGAAGCTGCTGCAGTGTCCTTCTGCTTCCTGTTGCCACCGTTTTGGGAAAATAACAACAGATACAAAAACTCCATATGGCTCTGTTGACAGTTCAAAAAACAAAATGCACTTTGTATGAAATATATCTGAAGTTATTTGAGCTTTATCCACCACCTATTAATGCAAATACAGTGCATAAATGTTTCAGCGTGTACAAATGAGAATTCATTTGGGGTTTCCTATGCAAAACAAGCAGGGGCCTCACTCATATCCACACACACACATGCTTTACTGCTTTCTGAATGTATCATTATTAACTCATAATGCTACTGTTACAGCAACATGCCTCAGATTATGGCTCTCTTCTACAGGCGGCAGTCACCCTATCCTCCTCTTACTCAGTGCAGTCAAGTGTAGGACAAAAGCAGAAAGAAGGGGGTGCCGCGCTCCACCCTAATGAAGTTGTAGGTCTTGCTCCTTGCTGCGCTCTGTTGGAGAAACAAAGCTAATCATAGTGAGAGCGGCCCCAGACTGTTACAACAGAGGGACCAGGTGCTTGTTCTTTTTTTCCTCTCTCTTCTTCCTTCCTCTGTTTTTTTCACCGTGCACCTGCCTTTAACCATCTGCACCTGCTGTCTGTAATAAGACGAGGGTGTAGCTCTCACAGCACTCCCTGGATGTGTGACGGGACGGCTCTAGTTGATTGCGATGATGCCTCAAAGACACACAGTGCACACACACTCTCTTATCTCTTATCTCCTCCATAAATCATTCAAAAAAAAAAAAAAAGAAAGAAAGATAAGCAGAAAAAATCCCAACTCATCACTGACCCTTTTTGTAGCCCTGGCAGGAGACAGAACAGTCGTAGTCTGTCTTGCATGCAATGAAAGATTAAACCACCCTGTGCGCACACAAATCCCTCCAGTTTTAGATCACTTTTACTTTGGTTTTGGAAACCCTTGCCCTCTTTTGCTCCTGTGACGTCTCCATGTTGCATGTTTTTAATCTCCACAGCAACAGCCTCCTGATGTATTTGGTTCATGGGAAGGTCAAGGACAAGCTAAAAGTCCCTCCCTCTTGCTCCAACAAAGCTTGTGAAGCAAGAAAAAAAAAATCCCTGTAACTCTCAGCTTCCACACCTACTGCTCAGAGGACACAGCTAATCTGAGATCTCACTTTTGACAACTAAAGGAGACTTGCTTGTGAATTACCAAATAGGTTTTCTTGGATGTTTGGGGCTTTTTGCATGACAGAAACTTGTATACTGAGTGACATAGAAAGCAAGTTAGTAGCCATACTCCTACTCCCAAAAATCTTCAACTGAATAAATAAATAAGAGTAAAAATAGAAAAAAAAACACATAATGCAATGTGATACAGTGTAGTATGATACAACATGGAACATAGTGGGACTGCATTATGTAACATGACATGATGTGATTCAGGTCAGTACTATACAATGCAGTTCAACGCCATACAATATATTATGATACGTTTCAATACAATAGGGTAAAAATGATGACGAAAATGATTTGATGTGATCTGATACAGTGTTAAGTGTTATGAAATGATATGACACATTACAATATGCTACAGTGTGCTACAGTACAATGTAACGAAAAACAATACAGTACAGTGGGTAGATATAATGCAGTACTACAGCATACAATTCTTAAACGTAACATACAATTTACAGTATGATACTGTACAACACAAAACGATATATTATACAGTACAATATGGCATGATATGATATGATACAATACGATACGATACAATATAATATGATATGATACAATATGAGAAGATATGATATCATATACGATATGATATTATACAACATGACATGATATGAGATGATATGAGATGATACAATACGATAGGATATAATATGATATAATATGATATGATATAATACAACATGATATTATACAATACAATATGGCATATGGTATGATAGGATATGATAAGATACGATATAATGTAATATGATACATTATGACATGACATGATATGATATGATATATGATAGGATTTGATACAACAGTATGATAATGATACTATATAACATGATAGGATACAATATGATATGATACCATACAACACCATTGAAACGTACATGCTTGGTTTGATATGAAACCATCTAGTTCTGTTCAGATTTATATACCATGCAATAGGACATGAAATATGATATAGCGTGATTTAATAGGATTGGATATTAATGCATGATTCAATATAATCTGATAAAGTGATGCGGCACAATACAGTGTGATGCTCTGTGATTTGATTTGTTACAGTTTGATATGATACATTTTTTGTTTTCCGTGGCCAAGTGTGCAAGTATTTTAAGCTTTAACAAATATAAACAGCTCCCTCATTTTGGCACTCAATCAAAACTGGCATATTTTAATGTTACGGGTGTTTTTGATCGTTTTGTTTTTTGTCTCACGTAACTCATGCTCTAAATTATAGTCGTTGATGGCTTTTGCCATATCATGGTTTTGTATGCTCTTCTAAATTCCTTTCTATCAAGTGTCAAATATGGAGACAGTGTGCATCTACAGAGATAATAATAAATAGTGCCTTAATGAAATGCATAAGGTATTCAATAACAGGACAGATCCTCAGTCAAAAAAGATACGATCTCATAGGGATCTTTACTAAAGTCTTTTCTTTTGGATGAAAGCTGAAATGCTTCACCTTTGACAGAAATCAAACGTGTAAGACGTGAATAAAACACTTTTTCTTTAAGGTAAACTATGTGCGCCCTACGCTTCACTCTCTCCTCAGCCGTCTGTTTGATGTGTAAGGTAGAAAAAGCCATGCACCTGTAGGGGGGAACATTAGAGGGTGTTGGAGGTGGTAGTTAGGGGACGGCACAATAGTGGTGGGGGGGTTGGAGGTGGCGGTGGAGGTTTGTGAGCGCCCGCCAACTTCCTTGAGTGTCTATCCACCTCACCCTGCTGCTGCCGCTGCCAGCATCGCCATGCCAGACTCTGCTCCTCCAGATAAACAAATGCTGGACAAATTTCTCTTTGTTAAACCTGTGTCGACGGCCGCATAATAATGAAGGCTAGCGTTGCCAGCGCGGGTGTCCAGCCAGTAATGATCCTCCTGTCTGAGAGGACAATGAGGAAAGAATGTATTCATGGAGACGGACCCCTCTGCTGCCCTGTACATTCTTCCTCCCTGGACTGTCTTGGCTTTGGCATTAATGCGCCTTTGTAAACACACTGGTCCAGTCACTCTGTATGATTATCCGAGACCGTATTCATGGCAGATCTTGGAAGAAGCCCAGGGCATCATTCTTGCCATTCCTATTGTTTCAGCCTTGACTTATCACTCAGCTGACTCTGATACCACTACTTGGAGCCTTTCAGCCTGTCTGCTTGCGCTCAAAGTGTAATTGTTATTGCCATAGGAAACACAAATCCACAATAGCCGCCTATGTAATTTGGAGCCTGATGCCCGTAATAGAAAACACCAAATGAATAAGCTATTTATTTACACAGGAATACAAAACACTCTCAGTTTAGTCTCTGTAAAATGTTGAGATATCAGTTTGAACTTGGTGGGGTAGTATTGTATGGTTTTTAATAAATGACTTAATGCTAAAAGTAAAAGAAATGTTGTTTCACTCTTTTTTTGTGAATGGGATAATAGTGAAACTACTGGTTGGACATCATAAATGTACATTTCAAGGCTTTTAGATTACAAAAGAATGAATGTAAGCAGTGCTCGACTAAATTCAAGCCCTGACAGAGATCAGTCTTGGCTCTCGTACCGGGCTCCGTCTTATAACCATATTAATACAACATTAACCAATGCTTTTTAAAAATCCTCATCTCGGTAAAAAAAAATACATCTCAGCTATTCTCCGAGGACTCCACCTAATTATGCATGGAAAATGTCTGAGGGCTGTGGGGGGAGGAGGTGAAAGGCTGGCTAGTGAAGGACTTTGTGTGGCTTGAGTGCGCAGCTGAAGGCAGCTGAAAGTCTACTTTGATAGCTGGCAGCTGGATCTCCCAGGTCTAGATTAAAAATTACGCTCAGAATGTAAAGCATCATTACAACTGGAAAATTGGCCAGATCACAAGGTTGCTGTGATAATGAGTATAGGATGACAAGGTAAAGCCCTGCAGTGAGACGTGGATTTACATGTGAAGCATATTAACCTTAACGTGCTGGAAAAAAGAGAATGGTGGTCTTATTTTCAGAGGGGACCAGCCCTCTTTCGAGGTCATATCCAATTAAACAAACAAGATGAATATAGGATTCTCTTACTTGTATAATATGCAAACAGGCAAACCCCTGCATGGTGAAAAAAAAAATACAGAGACCGTCCATGAGGATTTGAAATTCTTGTTTTTTCTACACTCACGTATGTAATATCCTCTTTGTCAAATATGCATGTAATGGGAGTGAGGAGAGAGCCGACACCAAGCGCCATGTACAAAAAAAAAAAAAAGCGGTCTCCAGCTATTGCATAGCAGCCATGCATTTGATGAATGTTCAACACCCGGCTCCTGGAGAGAGAAATCTGATCAGGACTCACAGAGTAGGAGTGTTTGCTCGCTGACTGCATGTTAAATCATTTCAGTTTCTTTAACAGATTTATTCAAAGTACTGAACAAGCACAATACGTCTTATAGGTGATATTGTGGTATTAAAAGCATCATTTTAAAATTGACTTTACATTTACTTTCTGACTCTCCACCCTTGGTATCAAAGAGCAGCATTGTTTTTATAATCAAGTTCATTTCTAGTACTGACGGATAAAATGCAAGATAATAAAACCCTGAAGTTAGGGTTTTAAAACATGAAGCCGCTTAATGACATATAATGGATCCCTCAATAAGAAAGCTGACATCTGATCAGCAGCTGACCAGGCTTCTGTTTCTTAGAGACCAAAGTCTGTTGTTATAACAGCCGCAGATAGCCGACCTGCTGCTGCTGCTGCTCCCTCAAATGACAGCCGCTCTGATTTAGTTTTTTATTGCTGAATCTTACTCCGGTAATGAAGTTGGGACTGTTATGTTTCTCTCATTACCTTTTCATTAAAGATATGCCTAGAAAATGGGGTTGCCATGGCTACCGATGGCTCCATGATGTCTCAGAGCTGTATGCGGAGCTGCATTGTTTACTCTTTTGCCAAGAGTGCTGTCTTCAATAGAAAAACCAAGACTTTTTTTTTTTTCTTCTTCTTCCCTGCACCTTCGTCTTTTTTTCCCCCTACCTTTCTTTTATGGATCAAACAATGACCCGCAAATAGAACATTCTTCATTTGTCCTATTTGTTAATGCTGAGAGGTTTCATTAGCTTGCTCGTTGCTTCCCAAAATGATAGCTGATGCTAGTTGGTGGGGAAAAAGGTAATTTACAGGCTGTGAGTGGTAATTTACACAGAAGAGATTAAAGAAAATGGTATGGAGTCATTTCGTCTAAATGACAGTTGGGCTTAATGTGGACAAAAAACAATGTCAGTTTGCTTGAGCATTACCTCTTGAAGGCTTGTGAGGATAAATTCAGCAGAAAGAATACTACCTTACAGAGATATAATGTGCAGAAAGAAGGAAAAAAGGAGAAAAGGTAAAATAAAATATAGAGGTGGGAGATAAAAAACGATACAGCATAATATCACGATATGTTGTCTGGTGATCGATCGTATTGTCTCATTTACCAAGTATCGATTTTTCAAATAAATTGCCAACAACAAATATATATAAGGTTTGCAAAATGTGCTACATAAAATAAACTACTGCGTAAATAGTACAAACATAAAGGAAAAACAAATGCTAAATTAGTTAAACAGCTGAAAAAAAGTATTAATCGTAACATATTATATCGCAATAGTCATTGTATTACAAAATGTTGAAAATCGCAATAATTTTGTATCGTGGCCCAAGTATTGTGTTGATATCATATTGTGGCAAAGTATCATGGTAATATCGTATCGTGGCCCAAGTATCGTAGTAATATTGTATCGCGGTCAAAGTATTGTT